ATTGTGGCCATTACAGACCACACATTTGGACTGCCTTTATGAGTTGGGAGAGGGAAATCCTCTCTCCTCAGGGAACAGTTCCATCTGTGAGTGATTTTCTGGAAGGCGTGTTGACCTACCATGTAGGCTACCATCTACCAGAGCTTAGGCTGTTTCCCCCAAGCTCTACCATCAATTGATGAATCAAATCAAAAGGGTAAAGATGTGGAATAGCAAGCTAACGTGAGCCGTATTGGTTACCACATGCCTATCTATTATTTCATGGGAATTCCGACAGAGATGCAGGAATAATCGCAAAGCAGCTTTCTAGAGGAATTTGTAGGTTTCTCGTTCCTGAACATTAGGGGTTGTTGGCCTCGCTGAACTCCTCCTGGTCGGCCCGTATCATGTGGAAACACCGCACAAGACCTAGAATTACGCGAGAATAAGACCACTTCCTGCCGTAACTTACATGTAGCAATCACGCGCATGTGCTGCATTACCGTCACCCCCACAGGTGTCTGTGCTGAAATCTTTGTCTCCTGATAGTTCACCTTGGGATAGAGCACAAGTTAAATCAATGATGTTGATACTGCCCCATCTCGAATGCCTCCTTCCCATCAATTCAGATCTCTCGCTTTGAGCCAATTTTTAGGCCTAAGTTATCTGAAATTGTGCACATTTGCAAAGTATTGACAGGTTTCTATGTTCACGTGCTATACCTATCATTAAAACTTAAACTCAGCAACAAATCGTTGTTTCAGGGAAGGAATTAGCTTCGTCTAAATGACTTGCGTTTATCACAAATATAAATATCCTTTTGAAGAGGTGGCGTGGAAATGGCACACCGTTTTAAGGCCGAGATCGAGAAGAGGATGATATCGGCTTTGTGCTCCATTAAATGAAAATATTTGCTGTGGCATGATTTCGCTCTCCGCCTCCACAGGTAGCGAGCGTGAGTCCGGGTCGACTTCTTTGAGTAATCTGTTTCCTCGTTAACAAATTTGTGTTCATTATTCACAATCACTGTCTCGCAGAGCTCGTAATGCTTTTAAAATGATGGTTTTACCGCTGTACTTCTTTTCTTTCGTCTTAATTTGCAGGTGTCGTTTTGTTTGCGTGTGCTCGTTGGTTTTCCCTGCTTGCTCTCTGTACTTACCATAACTTGGTTATGGTAATTAGGGAAACGACTTGCCGTTTAGCTGTCAATACAGCCGACCCACTCGTCACCCTGTGGGCTATATTTGAACCTTCCAGACATGTTGGTTGATTGTCAGGGTGAAATTGGTCCTTGAAGAATATTTTAAGTAGTGTGTGTAAAATTGGTAACAATCCAACTGCAGTTGTTAAAATTTCTCACGAACTATCTTGGCATTGTCGATAAAGGATGAAATGTAGAAGCATCTTGAAGGCATTGGACTCCTTACTGTTCTCCACATTATAAGCATGGTGAGGGAAATTGATTCTGTTCCCTTCATTTTAATCCTCTTTCAGGCCTGGGTGAGATTGTTATTTGAGTTAAATGGGGTCTTTTATGATTTCCTTCTTGATGTAACCCCCTTAAACTCTCGCTAGGCAGTAAGAGCCACCAAGTAACTTTGAAAGACATGCCTGACCTTTGGTGGTGTCACTAGTCTTGACAACCTTCTGCTCTTACTCGCTTACTTCGCTTTGGCAGCTCAGCAGGTAGAGTCGGCGGGACGAAAGCGGAGAGTGGAGTTGGGGACGGTGGTGAAAGGCGGTGGCGATGTATTGCAGCGGTTGCGCGTGAAGGACGATGCTGTAGTGGGTCCCACCCCGAGGATTGCGCCACCATAGCTCGCGCTGTCTACGGTAATCTGCTCTCCGTCGCCCTTGGCATGGTTGACCTCGTGCTCGTCTAACACTGGCATTGCAGGTCAGATTTCCTTATTTCCCCTTCCCCTCCCCAAAAGTTGGCGTCGACTTTATTCCTTAGGTTTTTTAGTATTCGTGCATTTGGTTGTTTAGTTTATTAAGCTATATCAAACAAATGAGTGCAATTGACTAACGATAGGTCTTCAACCTTTTTAGTTAAAATCAAAATGGAGATCTGAATGACCCCAGCATCGAGAGAAATGCTTGTAACAGAAAGGAATAGCCGCCCGATCCTGCATGCGCATGGTGATACTTGTTGTTATAAGTGTAAGATTGCAGGTGGTGCACTTAGACGAGAAGGCACATCAGCCCTGAGTTTTGCGTGCCCGGGACCGCATAGGCACGGATATTGACGGCTCGAGGGCAGAGCGCTTCGTCACTCTCGACGGTTCCATGTAGCGCCTTCACGACCTCCTCACAGACTAAGTTAGCACTGTCAACAAAGGCCGAAACTGATGAGGTTCTCAGAGGTACTGAGCCTTCCCACTGCTCCCCACAACACGAATATGATAAAGAAATTAGTTTGGTTTTCTTTATTTTCATGCCCTCTTAGAGGCAAGTGCGATTATTAATTTTGTTGAACTGGGTCTCTACTAATTTCCTCCTTAAATCAACCCCTTCCGATTTTTAGTGCGATTACAAGGATCACTACCTAAGTTTGAAAGACGCACGCCTAACAATCGGTGTTGTCACTACCCTTAATAGCCTCCCGCTCATTCACTCACTTGGTTATGGCAGCTGAGTGGGTCCAATCGGTGGGGCGAAAGCGGGGACTGGAGGCTGAGACGACGGTGGAAGGCGGCATTCAGTTAATTAGTATATTTATTTTATATCAAACGGAGTTAAGAGCAATTAACTAATTACAGAACTTTAATCTTAGCAGTTATTTCCAAAGCAGAAATGTGAAGGGCTAGGCATCGAGACGGGCGCTTATCACAG